AACCTGGTAAACTTATAAAGGCCATAGTACTCTCAATAACATTGCATACTCATATTGTGACACTGGGAACAAGAAAGGTAGGTATCCAGGCTTTAACAGTCCTAAAAAAATATTAGTTACTGAGATAAAAGTTCTCCAACCTACAGTTGGCTTTACTAAGTGCTAAATAACATAACAATATTTAAATCTGATATGAAAACAATTACTTCATTATCCAATGCAAGATCTTTCACTACTTAAAAAGAATAATTCCTTCTACTGAAAAATTTCACTTTGAGTTTGCTTTTCTAAAGATATAATATGAAAGAAAACAATGTTTCATTATTTAATCTTCATTATATGCATCTCACAAGGTTAAGTATATTTTATGTACTTGCATAATTGGTGAGTGGACAAGTTCAGGTCAGCAGGAAGCTAAAGTTTCATGTAGTCTTTGTAACAGTATTTTGTCCTACCACAAGATTATGGTATAACTTAGCATAGTTCATACAAAAGCTTATTTTGGAGACTTAATTTGAAATATCTACAACCATTTTCATTAATAGATCATATAATACTGGTTGTATCTTAGGTCTCTAAACTGTATTATGAATAAACAGGAATAAACAAAATCCTAAAGTGTATTTATTGTCAAGGGGTACGCTATTTTGTTTCAGAAATGTTTTTGTTTTATTAGTTATGTTGTGTTTTTTTTTTCTGCTTTACAATGCCGGCCTTTTATGAAAACACTACTTTTAACACTCTTATCAAAACCCTTTGCTGCTAAAAGACTCCACTAAGGAAATCCCTGGGGATTTTAATATCTCTATGAATATGAGGAAAAGAAGAATTTCATCTGACCACAAATTAAGATATCCTTTGGAGAATTTGAAATTCAAGAAGACATTAAAAGGAAGAAGTCATCATTCAGATCTTGGTTTAATGCAGCCTGGGTTTTCTTTGGTTTATTAGTTAAAAAAAAAAAAAGTTGGGTGCTAACTAGTACTGGCACCATTCCATCTATTAGTGCATTTGTCCTGGTGGTGTTCTTTTAAAAGAAGCTGGAAGAGAGTACACTTTTAGTGACTACACAGGTAGCTATCTGTAAACATGTTAAGCTTTCTCTAGGAATACCTAAACCTTTCTGGACCACATCCCATTGTGATGTCCAGGTCCTGATGAAATTCCATTTCCAATTTAAGTTGTAGTCTCAAAATATGCACAGGTGACATGGATCTGAACTCGGAATCCATGTCACTGTTAGATTTTCGAAGAATTGAAGGTGTTCAGGCAGTTCCATTTATCTTAAACTTCACCAAAGATAGCTTTTCTTATAAATTCCTTTTAAAAGAAAATTTTATAGTAGAGCAAAAAACAAGGGCTATATGTACACACTCTTAAACGAACCTTCTGTCAACTGAAAATAATATTCACCTGTTTTAGCACAGAGTGCCCTGCCATTTCAAAACTACCAATGACTCATGTTACAAATGCAGCTATTCTTAGGGCGGTGCACCAATGATGTTAATAATGTTCCTTGAAAAGGGTACTATTTAATCAAGTGTTTTGCTGATAAAAAAAAATAGACGAACATACCCTTGTTACAGTTCCAAATTACTGTCAGTTAAAATGTTTATTAGGCACCTATATGCCCTCTCTTTTTGCTGAGTGAAAATTCAGACAGTAAAAAGCCATTTGCTTCACAGGAAATAGCTACAAATTAATTGCTTTAAAAAGAAGCATAAAATCATACTAAAATTAGAAAGCTTTGTAATGCGGAGTTTAGGGAACCTGTGTTCTTTAGTCTCTTGCAATTGCTATGGTTGTGAAACTCTAACTACTATATTCTTGGGGGGAGGGGGGAATTGCCAAACTAAACAGGAAACAGTGGTTCAAACATTATGAACACTTTGAATAACACTGAAAATTTATTAAAAGACTATACAGAAACTACTTGGGAAAAGAATTCTATAGACTGAAGTCTTGTGATTACTGCATATTCCAAAGTTCCCCAACCCTACTACCTATGACAACTAATTCGCAGTTTTCTCCTTTGTCTTCCTAGAAAAATTACAAGTAAAGATGAATGCCAGTACTCCCCCCCACATCTCGAATTGAGGCTCCAGAGGAAAGCATTCTGGCTGAGTGACAACCAGATTACTGGTTCATACAAGAACTGCTGACGCAACCTTCAATATACCAGGACACAAGAGGAATGGCTCTGCTCTGGCTTAAAAGCATAAAACTGGTTAGAAACAACAAACAAAGCATATTTGGTAACAAAATTGAATGCAATTTTAGAATAACAACTTAGGGGAAAGTTTCAGTAGAAACTGTACCTAAGTAGGAAATGCTGTCCTCAGAAGAAAAACATTCCTGAAATTTTCTTTCTTGAAATAAAACTTTGCCTCTTCAAGGCAGCTTTAATTCAAATTAAGACAAAGACTTTGAATTAAGCCCCGATGATCCTGGGGAAGAACTTTCAGTAAAACTATCCTTGGTTGTTTTCCCCAAAGTATTTCTAGAGAGAATGAAGTGGATCCCTTAACATATTCTGACAGACATTTTCCTTCTATCTTTCTGCTACTAGGCACAGCAAACAGACTGAATAAGCAGCCTGGCTTTGGAACAGGCAAGAACAACATTCCTGGGCCAATCCTAGCGTCCCGATTTGTCTCAAAGCCCTGGTACACAGAAGTTTAAAGACCATGTAACATCTTTAAGAGCACATTTTCTAAGAAGGAACAGCAATTTTCTGTATTTCAGCCTCTTCCCTTCACAACTTTTCTACTACAACACAGTCAAGAACTTGTTCCACATAACTTCTAACAAAACCATCTCTGCTTGTAAACTATCTTGTTATTTTTAAGGGGACACAAGACTGTTTTTTAAAAGCAAAATGAAGCTAAAGCGGATTTCAGAAACCCAAATTGAAAGGCATGAAGACAGAATAAAAGAGGGGGCGGGCGGGGCAGGGGGGGATCAGAAAGTGTCCCTGCCTTTGATATTCCCTTTTCACAGTGCTATGGAGACCATATTTGCATTAAGCTTATGCCTCCTTATTTCTTTGTCCAGCTTAAGTCTTTTCTTTCTTTCTTTTCTCTTCTCTTTCTTTCTTTCTTTCTTTTCTTTTCTTTTCTTTTCTTTTCTTTTCTTTTCTTTTCTCTTTCTTGTCCAGCTACAGATTTCTTTGTAGCTGAAATCAATGGGTATGAAGGCAATTAAGGAAAGATTAGCAAACAAACTGGAGCTGCTTTCACTCCATTCTCCACATTCCAGGCCAAGAGAAAAGGATAACAGCCTGAAGAGCAAATGGGAGCTGAAGCTGGTTTCTCCAACCTATCTGAAAAGTCTTTGTGCAGTCAGAGGGCTATTATTTCAGGAGACAGAGAGAAGGGGGCAAAAGATTCACGTTGCTAAGGAGACTTGCTGAAGCTGGCATTCCTACATAAATTTCCATTTCTATTGAAGGTGGAAAAGAAAAAATATTTTTTCCAAAGTTTATTTGCATCCCCTGGTTACCAAAGAAAGGCATTTTACCGATTTATTTCATCTTTAGTTGTAAACAACTAATCCCGAAAGAATTAAAAGACCTAAGTGTTGACCTCCTGCTGCCAGCCAGGCCCCTTTACTATGAATCAATCAACAAAGAAACCCTTCAATAAGAATTCTGAGGTAACTGCAAAAAAAAAGCCTTTGTAAACACAAAATTAAATTTCTGCAAGGAATTTAACCAAGTGAACTAATCTCTCTTATAACAAAAAACGAAAGACAAAGAAAGTCGGCGGGGGGGGTGGCTTTTGTGCTATTTCAACTTCATTGGAACTTGGAAACGTTTTCAGTAAAGCTGTATAAATAATCTCAGAGAAAATATGAAACTGTCAAAAATAAATTTAATGAGTTTCTCTGGTCAGCGTGTGTGTGTGTGTGTGTGTGTGTGTGTGTGTGTGTGTGAGCGCGCGCGCGTGCACACGCGCATGCGTGAGCGCGCACACCAGCATAGGAAAGCATCAGCAGAACCTTCCTTTAATACACCCTCCTTAATCTCTGCACACACCAGCAGCTGAAGAATCAGAATTCGAGATGGCATAGTTTGCAGTAAGAAACTGGAAGTTAGCAAATTCCTACTGAGAGTAACTGGGATGCTGGGAGCGGGGCGGGGGGGGGGGGGGGGCACAACAAAATTGGAGGATCATGAAGGGAAAGAAGCCATAAAGTTCCTTTCGAGTTAGTAGCCGCAAGGTCTACAGACTACTCTACCTCTCTTCCCATCTTCGTGCAATTTTCACCGCTTGCTGAATAAAGCACAACTTTTCAGGCAACTGCAACTGGCTCATGGAGAAAGGGACAGAAAGAGAGGGGAGGTTCTTACTGTGGGAGTGAAAGAAGGGAAACTCAAAAGCAACAACGGTATCACCAAAAAAGGAGACAAAATTCATCAGTCTCTCCAGACTGTCGGTATCATTCCCCAAAATTTAAAGGAAGGGGAGGGGGTAAAAAAAAGTGAAAATTCATTCAGAAAAAAAAAAAACAGATAAAGTGAAACAGAACAGAGAGAAATGTGGGCCGAGAGGAAAACTTAGGCAAATTGCTCTTAGACAGAGGATTGGGAAAGGAGGGGAACAGAGTGGAGAACCCACACATCTTGAATTTGGGGCGTTTTGTCTGTTTCTTTTTTAACGGGGGTGTGGAAGGCGTCGCATCTTTTTTCACAGCCACATGGTTCTCGCCTTCAATGATAACAATTGCCCAAAATAGCATACGTGTTACTCCAAAGCCGGAGAGACTGGCAAAGAAAAAGGAGAGGGCGTGGGAGGTCTTCTGAGTGTTGGCGACCCGGACTCCTTCGGATGAGGGGAACATGCAGGGGCTTCCTGGGGCCCGAGGGTCTTAGTGTAGGGGAGGGGAGAGAAGGGAAAGGGGAGTACAGAAGGGGAGGGAAAGGGAGGGGAGGGGTGGACTAGAGAGGTGGAGGCAACAGAAGAGCCCTGGGCAGCAGGGGCGCGGCGCGGGGGCCTCACCGCTGCCGAGCGTGGACTCGCAGTGCCAGATGTCCAGGTTGGCGGGCTTCCGGCAGGACTCCCATAGGGACAGGTAGTACTGGTGGTCCGCCGTGACCCAGGCTGGGCTCAGTACAGCTCCCAGGTCCAGACACAGCGCCAGAAAGATGCACACGAGCCCGACCAGCTTGAGCGGGGTCAGCACCGACACGCGCACCTCTTCCATGCCGCTGCCCGCCGAAGCCATACCCTGGCGCCGCTGCCGCTCTCCCCGGTGCAGTCTAGGACACCAGGAGGGTCCAAAGAGCCCGAAGCAGGAACTCTGGACCAGAGAGACGCTGGTACACTGGCGCTGGGGACTCGACCCTCGGGACTCTGTTCCACACTCCGAGAAGCCTGCGGGACTGAGTGGGGAAGGCTGAACCAAAGGAAGTCGTTAGCAGCCGCAACAACGGCAACTGCACAGTGGACCTTCACGCAGCGCTCTGCCTGTGCCCGCGCCCGCGCCTGCTCCTCCCAGGCGCGGCCAGACTGGCTCCGCCTCAGCCCCGCCCCAGGCTGCAAGAGGCGGCGCCTTGCAAGGGAGGCGGCGGGTCTGCAGAGTGGAATGGCTCTGGTTTCTGGCGTCTGGAGTCCCGCCCTTCTCAAGGCTAGCCTGGTGGCCACTGTGAATAGCAATTCTCTGCTGCCAGCCCTACCACGTTTGCTCTGGGGTCCCTCCATGGGGATGTCTCCAGGTCACGTGGCTTTCTTTTTCGTATGGAACAGGTATTGAACGTTTTGTTTAGTTTTTTTTTCTTCTTCTTCTTTTTTCCTAGAAGACATCTGATGTGGATTCCTAGGCTTCCTAGCCTGTGGCCTTTGGAGAAAAGATAGGTCTCCATTCAGCGGCAGTATGCCCACTGCCCAGCCATCGGTAACGATGTTATGGAAGAAGAAAAGTAACTGGAAATTCTTTACACTCTCCAAACCCGGAACGAGTCCAGGAGCCACCCTTCTATCCCCACCTTCCAGCACCTTATTAAGTCAGTTTTCAAGCTGACTGCAGCCTTTGCTCTTCCTCTGAAGGGCAAGTGGGAGATAAAATGGAAATGAGAGATTTCACAAAAATGAAAAGCAAGTCCTATTGGCATCTCTGCTGTTTAGTCTGTTGTAATTTGTCTAAAATCCCTAATGTACTTAGAGCTGTGTTCAGCTAGATCTGAAACCTTACCTTGGTGTTAACTTTCCTTGTTCTTCAGTAAGCTCCACTACAGGGCTTAAGGCAGGAAGGAGTGGGTATATCATTCCTGAATGGGTAATTAATGCATTTACATAGATTTTTCAGGAAACTGACATAAGGACTCTTCAAAGGCCATTGTCTTGGTTCTTAAGGAGTGGATTCGTGCTTTAAATCAATTTGTGAGAACTGTACAAGCCTTGAAATTGAATTTCTGGTTTTTTAATTGTCGAATTCGGCGTGATTGGTGGACAGATTCATATTTTTTTCTCTCCATCTTGCCTCAACACACACACACACACACACACACACACACACAATACACACAATATATTCACTAGATCATTGACCAAGCATTTTTCCAGATCATTTACCCTTTCAGTAACTTAATGAGAAAGTCAAAAATGAAGATAATGACCTGAAGAATGCACCTCACATTCTCCCCACCCCTCACACAATACCATCATCAAACTAATGGCTCTTATATTTTGTGTGTAGGAATGGGTATGAGGGCATTTAACAGTCTTTCTCTTCTACCAACTGTTTCCAGGGGCATAGCACATTTTAAGAAGCAAAGTAGTACCAGGTGAGATAAAACACGTGGTTTCTTACAACTGTAAATAGAACTGGCCATCTTTTCTACTTCTCAACCACGATCATCTTAATTACTTGAGGATACATCATAAACAAACCAAGAACACACTCAAAGGGACTCTTTTACTTGGATCTCCAAAGACTTATTTGATGCCAGTTTGGAAGACTAAACAAGGAAGATAAGTAGAATGAACTCTGATGACCTGAGTTCTAATACTTCTTTTTACGTGGACTTTCACATGCAGGTAGATAATTTACATTAAAAGTAAATCATTAAGAAAATTTCTTGAACATGTCCTCAGTTTAAAAGCAATTGTTTTGCCTCCAAATTCTACCACCTAACTTTTTGAGTCAACTAATATTTTTCTTATCCGTCATGCTTATTACTCATTCTCACCACCCATACTCCAACCTCCACACTTTATTTTTTCTGGATTGCTCTCAGCTGCTTGCTGGAGTTGATTCTTTGTACTATTTGTGATTTTTAAACTATTTCTAACAACACGCCTAATGTTTTAAGTCCTCTACCAATCATTTACAAATAAAGACTTCAAACCAAAAACACTACTTAAATAATTAGCAATTTCATTTGGTAGAAAGCTATTTCGAACTATTTTGAGGTGAATTATATTGTTGATTTATCTCAGAATAAATAAACAGAGACACTGTTAAAGTCTTGTGTAACTTATGGTACAACAATGTATCTTTTATGCATCTGATAATAAATGATTTTATAAACTCAACTGGCTCCCAAACTTTCACTGAAAAAATGGTAGATGAATAGTTCCCCTAAAATTGGAAATCTAACAAAGATACTAAAAGATAGCTAATTTGAAGTGAGGTGGGGTAAGACAGTACACATATATTATGGGCTATCTTGTTTGCACATATTATATACACAGTGTCTTTTGCACAAACTACAATAGAAATAATTGGAGATTGAGAAATGAAATGAGTCCACAGTAAGCTGTAAAGAAAGAACTACTCGCCCATGAGAATTGATTTGCAATTAAGTGAAAAATGAGGACAAGACTGCTTCCAAGTTTGATTGAAGAGGTTTGTTGTAGACATGATGGAAAAAAAAACAGCCAGTGGCATCTTAAAGTTCAGATTGATCAAGGCCAGAAGACTGAACCAGATCATGAGGGGAATGGGAAGAGGAGAGTGAGAGAGGACAGAGGGAACAAGTATACCAAGAGAGACCCAGTACCAGAGCCAGCCAGAAGCTCAGAGCTTGTTGACCAAGAGATAGCATAAAAAAATGGCTGAGGTTATATAGGAATCAGAAGCTGGGGGAGGAGATGTCTAGACCCTAGAAAAGATGTGTATTATGGAATCATTCCACTCATGCATAGTCAAGACCCTTTTGTTCCCAGAGAGGAATAAAGATGGTATGGAGAAACAAATTTTCTGTAAGGAAAACAATTAGAGATTAGAAATAACTGCAACATGCCTTTCCAGTGTGGCTGGCAATAACATGGACACATTTCTCTAAGAACCAAAGATAAATACTTTAGAGGTTTACTTGTTTTACTTATAAGTCCATTCTTCAGGTCACTCCACTGAAGTGTGAAGTGATTTATTCTATAATATCATGAGGTCTGCTTGTTACTTATGAAAATTAATGAGATCAAGAGACCTTTAGGTTATATATATTTTCTGCTGCTTCTATGGAGTTTCTTATGTTATGCAACATTTTGCATTTAAGTTTATCAAATAACTGTAATTGATTATTGTTGATCATGCCTTTTAAAAAACAAGTTATAAAAATTTAAAATTCCACGGCTAACAACTGAATTACATCATTTTCTAATATATATTCTGATTTAAATATTGAATTAAATTTGGATTATTAAAAATTGTATTAAATTTGATTTAATTCAGTTGATAATAGTATATTCACTATTCACATTGTATTGATGTTTTGATTTCATGATAATTGATGTTTCATATTAGTATCTATTACCATAATAATTTTCTAATCCATAAAAGAAATTGAAAACATTAGAGAACATTGGATGAAAAGGATGAGTAGTTCTAAAATAAATATGTTTATTGTAATGAAAATAATTTTGAGCGAGGAACCCAAGCGGTAGGAATATGGGAATATAGGCATTTAAAAGCAAAACTTGTCTTGCCGGAATAAGTTCTTTTTGTTTCTCTGTTTCTATCACTGCCCGTCAATGTAGTATCAAGTACTCTACCAACACAAACCCAATTCTGAACTGATTTGGCCTTTACTTGGACATCATCACAGATATTTGTCATTTCTGTATCTGGTACAGAGTAACTAACTCTTGGAAACTAATTGATAAAAGAAGGAATGAAAGCTTCAGAAATGAATGCTATAATAGTTGAGACTTAAGTAATATTCAGAATTGAAGCTTATGTTTGGTGAAAGGAGCTGAAAGGGAGTGTGCTATTGAAGCATAGCCTATTTGTGAATTTAGGCACAGATCAGTGAAGTTAGAAGAAGTAAAAGAAAGCATGAAAAACCATCCTGGAAAACTGGTTCCCTTTTTCCCCCTCAAGCTTTCCTTGGAGCTCATTAGCTAAGTATCTTCTATTACTCTAAATTCTGTCTAAAGCTATCTTTGTACATTTCAGGTGAATGTTCATAAAATTGTTTTCCTACGGGCCTATTTTTATTTGAGCATTCAAATGGAGGTCTTTGCAGGCAGGAAAAAATATCTTAAGAAATACCTGCCCTGAACCTTTGCTAAAGTATCATCAATTTATACCATCAAATATAGCATCAACTTGCAACAAAAGAAGATGTTAGGGCTAGTGGATATAGCTCTGCTGGTAGAATGATAGCCTAACACACACAAGACCCTGAGTTCCTTGGCCAGCACCATATGAGCTAGGCCTGACGATATATGCTTGCAATCCCAGGACTCCAGATATGGAGGCAGGAAGTTTAGCAGTTCAAGGTTATCATCAGCTAATTAGGGAGTTTAAGACAAGTCAAGATTACTTCTTGAGACTATCAAAATTAACTAAATAAACAGAACTACTTTATCTATGTTGATATGCTGAAAATCCTTTCTCATGAATTAACCTTTGTGATGTAAACATCTCAAACCTATTGTATCTGGAAATGTTTCTCTTGTGTTTTGGCAGAGTCTGCTTCTGCAGAATCAGAAAATTATTCATTAAATGGCTGTTTGTGTGTGAGAATGTGTGTGTATGGTGTGTGGTATAGAGGTCATTCCTTTTCTTTGTGGTCTAAAGCATTCACATATTCAAATGGCAAATATGAACCCCACAGTTTACAAATCATGATGCTTTCGACTAAAGAAAGGAAAGGTTGGACATAGAAAAGATTACAATGAGGGGGTACCTGGGGCAATTTATACTCACAATTTTCAAATAGACGAATGCAGCTGAGCAGTTACTCCTTGGGGTTTCCAAACGGGGGTTTTAAATGTCAACAATGCTAAGTGATTGAGCCTAGTGGGAAAAGAAAGCCCTTTTAGAAATTTCATTTTAGTGTAGCTCTCACCTCTAGATTTAACCTTTTCAAATTAGTCTGTAAAGTGAGTAAATAAGATATATCTGCAATCTATCACAATTCAAAATGTCATTTCAGTCAAGTTCAAATAAACATAGGTGGAAAAATACCAATATAATTTTGAAGTTTACTGTTATTCTATTCCCTCAATTATGTTTC